AGTAGGATCTGCATCGAATGAAAGACGTCCCCGCGCTTTGTGCTTTGTGCAAAATTCTGCGTGAATCAACACTTCGTGACCGAGCTTATGATAAGCCTGAATGACCATCTGAGAACGAACATTAAAGGGCACCACGGCGGAAAGCTACCCTTAATTCGCTGAGAACCCGTGGCCATGTGATACCAGCAGGCACTGCTCGTCATTGCAGCTGCGCGAGAGTCTGCAGCTGATCAGACCAGCGTACACAGGCCCGTCTCCTACAGCTGCGCGAGATTCCGCAGCTGACCAGACCAGCGTACACAGGCCCGTCTCCTACAGCTGCGCGAGATTCCGCGGCTGACCAGACCAGCGTACACAGGCCCGTCTCCTACAGCTGCGCGAGATTCCGCAGCTGACCAGACCAGCGTGCACAGGCCCGTCTCCTACAGCTGCGCGAGATTCCGCAGCTAACCAGGCCAGCGTACACGGGCCCGTCTCGGAGCGCGGCGTTTGCTGGGGATATCATGGGCATAGTGCAGTCTTCTCAGGATTCTCGAATTTGGCATTTGATCCCTACAGGCGGGGGAGGTCTCGCCGACATACCGGGTGGAAGCCGCTGTTGTGACTAGCTTGTGCGTAGGCGTGCATGATTTGCTACATGATAGGGCCAGGCACATGCAGGTTTAGGTGTGACGCCACTCGGGGCAACAGGTACGTGCAGTTTTACCAGGTGATCAGTAGTAAGCGATAGAAGAAAATGAAAAAGAGACCAAATGGAAGTTATATATATATATATATATGCATTATATATATAGGTATATATACATATATATGTGCACATATATATATATATATGCATTATATATATATATACATATAGGTATATATACATATATATATATATATATATATATATATATATATATATATCATGCATGTATATAAGACACTTGGGATGGTACGATATGCCGGCATATATCGGACAAGTAAAAAAAACTCACAACCTACTGATGGGAATAACAGCAAACATATTAAAAGCTTAGCCAGAACTTGATGCCGGCGGATATCATTATTGCACGCCCAGTTCATGACTCCAGTCGGCCACACCACGTGTTTCATATCCTTCACCTACGATTTTCAATCGAAATTCTCCTTCGGATATCCATTGCTAAATGCACACGTAGCGGGGACGTTGTTTTTGGCTATAGCATATTGGCACAAGCACCTTAAAAATGCCTCCCACCATTTCAGTTCGGTCCCAAAATTTTAGCGTTGTTACGGAGCGTTCATAGCACACGGCCCATCTTCACTTATTGGTGCTCACAAACACCCTTTATTTGTCACCTAAGAGTACAGCTCCCTCCCCCGCCCACCAAACCCCTGAATTTACGCTCGCTGGGGATGGACAGCGTCGACGGCATCCCGCCCCCGGTCCAGTGTCGGTCGGCCCCCGGTCCAGTGCCGTGTCCAGTAGGACAGGGGATCGTGTCGGCCCCCGGTCCCCCTGGTCCAGTGTCGGTCGGCCCCCGGTTCAGTGTCGGTCCAGTGTCGGTCGGCCCCCGGTCCGGTGCTGGTCGGCTTCCGGTCTGGCCCGGCGCATCCGAGCGCGTCACTCAGCCGTCCGCCGACGGCGCCGGCCCGCTCACGGCCCCTCGGCATGCGCCTCGGCCCGGCAGGCGGCGACAGACCGTGATTTTAATGGCGGCCGGCCGCGGCCGTCAGATCAGTAACTCATCGTCGGGCGCATTTTAATCTCGCCTGAGGGCCGCCCGACAGCTGGCGAAGACGTGACGAGTGACGGATATTGAGTTTCGACACTGGCCGGCGACGACTGTCGGCTGCCGGCGATGGCGCACGGCGCGGCGGCCGCGACGAACGGCCCGAGGCGAGCGCTCCGGTGTCGGAGCCAGGGGGGGGGGGGGGGGGCTCTGGGCGCCGACCTCGGTGCGCCACAACCGCGGGGTCCCGGCGGGATCCGCTGACGGATACACACATCCCGGATACACGCAGGCTGCGGATTATTCAGGGCGGGGTCGCGGAGGCGGGACGGGACAGCGGCACCGCACCCGTCACGTGCCTCAGGGACACCCGTCACGTGCCTCAGGGGGCGCGGCTCCGCGACTGTCGAGTGGGCGGACACAGCCGCCGCGTCGCCGCGCTGCCACGGGCGCATTACGCCGGGACCGGATCCGGACTTAACCGGGATATCTTAATGACCGGCGGCGGCCCGTTTAATCATGGACGGGCTGCGCGCCGGCCGCGAACCTGGTGACCCCTGCTCCGGCTGCTGCCCCGACCACCGTCCGGCTGGTGCCGCTCCAGAAGTGCGGCAAGGGTCTGTTGTCTCGCCGCCGATCAATGAGGCGGGTCCGGCGTCGCCCACGACGCGTCGACGACGACAGCGGCAGGGGAGGAGGCGGCCGATGTCACATCTCGTCTCGGTTGAGAGCCGGACGCTGCGCACAAGGGTGGGGAGGGGTGCGCCGGAAACGCCCCCGCGGTCGCGGGCTTCTGCTGAGTTATGTCGGCGAGGGTAGAGGGGATGGGCGTTGTCCGAGACACGTCTACGGTTGGCAGTGGCGGATTCAGAGGATGGGAGCAAATGTAATTCACGCATTTCTTCCAAAAAAGCATGCTTCAACAGAAGACACAACGCACGCGGTGATTCAAATGCAATGCGCGGCACTCTCGCCCCCCCCCCCCCCCCCGTTTAACAGCCTTGGGCGCGCCCGTGGCGCAGGACTGTGATGAGGGCGACCGTCCCCGGGGGCGTGATGCCGAAGCCCTGATGAAGTTGCGGCTGGATGGACGGAGACGCCGCTGGGAGTGGCGCCGTACGTCGTAATGGGCGGCGTCGGCGCTAGGGCCCCAGGCGGTGGGTGCGGGGGCTGGCTCTGTCGCCAGGTGGTCGTGTCGGCTGGACGCCACTGCCCAGGCGGAGACGGCCGGGTAGCAAGGCCGGACCTGGCGCAGCCCTGACGCTGCGCCAGCTGCCGCCGTCCACGCGAGGGACGCGGACGGAGCGGGCGGCCGCGGTGAAGCCACCACAGAACTTGTGTTTGCTCTTGTGAGGGCTTACAATTGGCGTTCGTGGAGAGCTATCCAGGCGTGCTGTCTCATCATGATGCGGTCTATAGAGTGCATTGTGAGTCTATGCGGTTTTGTGATGTTTTTATGCGTTTTTTTGTGCTTTTTTTTGTTATGTTATGTTATGCGCACTTTTGTGAGCCTATGCGGAGTCAGTGCACTAGGCACTGGAGGACGCCACGTCGGGGGACCCCCTCCCCCACCCCAGCCCGGAGGTGGTCCGGTCTTGGTGGACGGCGGCCAGAGACGCCTGGGTGCCGGCCTCCCAACAGCTGTTCCGTTATTGCACGTCGACGTCGCTGACCGCTCGATATTGAAAGTGGACGGACTCGCCTCGGCTCTCCAATATTCCGGCACATCGTGGGTAAACTGTTTTTAGAGGGTGCCTACGCCAGACGCCGGCATCTGGGTCAGTCGGCGCCTGGCGCTGTCTTCAGACTGCTTCGGTTGTCGCCGCCGTAAAGCCTGGCGGGACACTCGGTTCAAAACCGAGCTCGCCGACTCTGTCTGCCGCCGACTGCAGTGACCCATGTCACAGCACGGCGTCAGATCTGCACCTGTCCGCCAGCTCGCTCACTTCACGGCTCGACGGGTGGTCGCAGTCGGGCGCGTGTACTCGGGGAAACACAGTCTACTCCCGTCCCGCCAGCTCGGACGGCGCCGTTTTTCCCGCGCGAGCCGCGCCGCCTTGGGGCGCGCGTCCGACCCTAACGAGGCACCATCGCCGGGCAACTGTCCAGTGCAGACTTCCCGCTGGAAATGGGGCCGAGGGCGCTTGCAGGCTGAGACACGCCCTAATTGTATGTTGATCTTGGGACGGCTGCTGCTTTTTACGCATGGCGTTTTTAGGATTGCCGGCGTGGCTTTATTGTTCCACGCGAGTTGGACGATGGTAATTGAACAAGAAACGGAGGCGGCGTGAAGGCTTTGATGTAAGGTAGATGGGCTCAGAATAACATTAAACGGTATATGCAAATACGATGTATGTATATGCCCTTTAAAATTCCTGCAAATTGCCAACCGAAAAGTCCCCTGATATGTTATGAAATGCTGCACAATCATTATTAACTTGTTTTTCTTTGTAAAGCATATTGTCTTCCTATTGATAGGAATTCGTGGATGGTGTGCCCTAGCTTAGTTGAAAAGCCGTACAATTTGTTCACGCTGATGGGAACCCACGCTCCACCAAACCTTACCTACCACATGCCTTCACCTACTTATGGACATACAGTGATGCCGTTGAGATGTCTTTAATGCATTACGCGGGAAGTGGAAGATAGCTGGCTGGCGAACACGACGAACTTCACCAGCGTTTCTGCCAAAGGGAAATGTGGACTTTGAATGGCGACATCAATATTGTAGCTTATCTTCCGCGAAAAAGTGCTGCACTCTGTTGCGATGCATGCATAAAGCAGGCTACCCAACTAACTGACGCTGAGTGACTTCGACCCACTCTGAACGGATGTGACCGAGTCTGCCCGACTTATGCTGAATCTTGCCAACGATGACTGAATCTGACTGCATGTGACTGACTTTGAGAGCGGTCCTGGCCGACACCAGATCCTATGTCACGCTCTGAATGTCTCTGAGCTGGAGGTATCTTATTTGTATTCTGAGTGTCTCTGAGTCTGCGCGTTTGTTAACTATCCTCTGAGTGAAGCCGCCCGGGTCCGTGTGCGCCTGAGCAGCTGCTAGCCTGTCGACCAGGATGGGGGGGGGGGGGATGGCTAGCATGCCACACACGACTTCTGGCGGCACAAGGAGAGTCTGTAAAAACAGGAGATGGAAAGACAGGGGACACGAAGAGCACGTCGAACGTGCAAAGCAAATCATCGTACCCAAAACACAATCTTTCTGCGCCACACTCTGTGAAGACAAGCGAATCTTTCCAGTCCCCGCGCGAACCTTGAATAAGGTCTCGTTCCGGTCCACAGGCTTCCTGAACACAAACGTGGAGCGCGGCCGGGCGCGCGTGACCAACAACGGCCTGCTGGACCAGATCGCGGCGCTGCACTGGATCCAGGAGAACGTGCAGGAGTTTGGTGGCGACCCGGACAAGGTGACGCTGTTTGGCCACGGCACCGGCGCCGCCTGCGTCAGCTTCCTGCTCAACTCGCCGGCCGTCGTAACCAGTGAGTTAGTTGGTGCCCGCCGCTGCCACCACCCTGGGCAGGACGCAGGACACTGCCTCCGGAGGCGGCCGGCAGCCAACAGGCAGCATGCAATACATAGGCCCACATTAACATTTCATTCCAGGGCTGCATTTTGAATAAGGTGTGGTCAAATTTCCCGTGTGAACTTGCGAGGGGTTCTGGGCGACCGGCTGGCCTTTGGACAATCACCGGCCCGATGCCTGATTGAAGCCAAACGTATTTGTCGTATGAATGTCATACCAATGGCCCGCAGGAGCACCGGTTTCGGTCGGTATACGGTAACAAGACCCCACGGGCCACAGCTGCGGTACATGGTGGACGGTGCCAGCTGGGGAGCCGTGCCGTGAGCTCCCCCACATCCCAGTATGTTAGCTGTACACCGGCCCCAACGATCGGGATGACGATGTCTGGGCGTGGAGGGGCCTGCGCTGCGGGCTAGAAGGGATAGCCGAAGATGCCCCCGCAACAGAACTCACCTACGCAGTGAAAACGCATGCCGAGACCAAGTGATACTTTCAGCTGGGGCGCAAAGCTGGGGATCAATTAATTTAAAACAGTCAAAAACGCAATGTCATCACGGCCATCCAAAAACAAACGGGGCAGGCGAAAGGAAATGAGCTTATGCCGCATGAGGATTTGTCAACCTTACCAGACTCACTTCTGCCTCTATGCTGGTGACGCTAGTGCATGAGGTACTTTCCTGAAAGGAAACAATGCGTTGGTCATCCAGCGTCGCTTGCCTCGATGTTTAAGTCCGCCGGGTGTAATGTTGATTTCATTGCGTTGCGTTGAAGCTGGGCACGCTTTTAAGCTATTGACAGTTCGGCTGAATGACAAGAGTGAAATTCGTGTAGGGCCTGGCTGTTGCATAACACCACACATGTTGGTTGATATCAACTCGTTTATATCCATGAGCTGATGAGAACAATGAGTCATGGGCGCATAAAGATTCTGGCAGCCGATGTGTGCAAACCAAAATACCTACCCGGGCGCATATCAGTCGGAAAGGAAGCGAACAATCGAGTGGCACCTCAGGATTTTACGTTGGCGCTTTGAGATAACCACAATTCGGGGGTTAGCTCACCTTTGCAAGTGGGCACAGCGAATTGAGTAGAAACTGACGTGACGTGCCTATACGCCCAGGCCCACGCTGTTTAACAACATCCAGTGTGAGCCAGAGCCATAAACGCCTTATTAAGGCATGATAACTTGCAGGAGACACGCTGAGGGGTGTGACATTTTCGTCATTTGCCTGAAGTTTGTGGATGGTTTCCCAGCGTTATTACATAATGTGCATAAATCAGTATTTCGTGTAGTCCTCCCGGAAACCCACCATGCCACTGACCTCAGTACACAGAAGAGTGATTAATGCACCACCGTTTGAATAAAATTCACATAACGTTTGGTGCTCGTACCATAGCAGTGGTACATCCACCGTTTATAGCGATTCAGAGGACAGCTCAGAACGCGTGTAGCTGGGGCGCCAATGCATCATTAACAGGCAGTGTAGAATACCACAAAAGACGGACAGGGACGTTAGGGGGGCACTATGGCGCTGGCACCGGTGGCAGCTGTATTTACCAGCTGGTTATGTCGCAATAGCGATGGAGCCGCTGCACTGACACAACAAACGCGCACTACCGAAGCAGCTCCGAACAGCCGCTGAAGATTGGAGAGGCGTCTTACAGGTCCTACACCACCGTGTGGCGTCCAAACTTTGGTGCTCGGAAACACCCTTGAACAAGCCAGTCGCCCCTTCAGGTCCCGGCCGGCCCGGTTTGCTGCGTTCGTGTCCAGTGGCGGCTTTACCTCACTCGCCCTCCGCTCTCAGAGAATCTCCTCTCCTCAGGACCCCCCCCCCCCCCCTACCATCGTCCACCTTTTCGCCGCCTCGGCATGCGCGGCCGAGAATGGTCACCGAGCGGGCTGGGAAATCCCCGACCGGCGACGAGCGGCGGCGGCCGGGCGGATTTTACGCCGGGATAACGCCTCAAATGACCCCGGCCGGCCATACATCCTCATATGTAGCCATCCCGGCGCTATAGGCCCGTGGAGCGGCGGCCATTAGATTAAGGAAGGCAGATAAGGCCCGCCTTTGTCTCACATTGTTGCCCCGGAGCGGGCCGATTGTGGTAAAAAGCAAGCGCGCCGGCCGCTGCGCCGCGGCCGCGCAGCTGCCATCTCCCACGGCTCTCGTCGGGCGGCGATCGTGGCGCGGGCGGCCGCCGGCGCGGCGCTTCAGACGCGCCCGTTCCCCGCACTGGCGGCCATCAGCGGGTATCTCCATAGCCGGGGCGCCCGTCGGCCGCTTCCACTCGGCGCGCGCCCGCCAGCTTTATGACCGGCGACGAGAAAAACGGCCCAATTCATTGTCCCCCGGCGGCTGCCAGCCTCCTCCGTCTTACTCATGGCTTCGAATTTCCATAGTTTTCCGGCCGCGCCGCGTTCCGTTCTCTCATCGCGCCCCTCTGGTCCGTTCTTCGTGATGGGGATGAGCCAAAGGATCGAGAGCGGGTCGGGACAGCGGGGGGGGGGGGGGGAGGGATGGATCAGCTCGATGGCCAGCTGGGTCAGTTTTATTGTGCGCATGCGGAGTGACGTTCCCCATCGTTGTCCGCTAGGCCCGCCGTATCCAGGAGGTTCGGGGTAGTTCTCAGGTTGGAGCTCGCGGACTTCTTGGATCTGTTTACCCGTTGAGCATGTTGTCCCGAAGTGTGGGGTTCAAGATCGCATGGTGGTGGTGTGGCTGATTTGTTTTATGCGGAAACGCTGAGCACGCTACACCAGAAAGCGTGCACTTTTTACACATTTCTCATGGAAATAGATGTCTCGAACGACCCCATTGCATTACATTAATGTTGCTTCACCGTATCCAACCAGGACGTAAGGCGGAAGTTATCAGACAACTCCTTTACAAATTGAGAAGTGACGCCAGTGGCTAAGGCCTACAAAAAGGTGATGCTGGTCACATAGAATAAAGTTCAGAGGAAAGTAACCTCACTGACGCACACAATCGCCAACCAATCATCAACCGATATCACTAACCTGCGATGCATGCTCTTGTCAAGAGACATCTGCAAGGATTAGTTAGGTGACAGGATTCGTGAAGAATATGGCTGGGTGCAATGCTATTTTTATAGATACCATGGCTGTCCTCAGATATTACTGCTGAGTGTGAGCACTGAGCAGGTACGCCCGAGCGTTTGTCGAGGCGAAATGTTCTGGCGCAGGGATTGTCACACAGCGTTACACTTTATGAAACTTTTGTTTTTTTCTTTTCGAACTTACCAGTCGGTGTGACAATATTTGCAGCTTGTTTTATTTGACAGCCTCCACTCGTAATTCGAAGCCCTGCACAATACGTGTGAGAAATGGCGAACTCTATTTTCAGGCAAAGTTGAACGTAATCGCCTTGGACCAATCTAAGCGAAAATACAAACAACTTTCTGCGAAAGCTGGTCAGAAAAGCCACGCCCCATCAGGATTACATGAGAAGCTGTTGCCCAACAGCAGCAAACAAACGCCCCCCCCCCCCCCCACCCACCCCCCAGGCCCGTAATCCGTAGTATAACGCTGAGCTATGAAGCTCGCTGGCCTAAAACTATCTGGTGACAAAGAACAATGAACGGAATAAACCAGGATAAGTGGTTGGGTAGTTGCCTGATCAGGCTGCAGGGCAAGCTTTGAAAATATGCATGGCAATAGGCGAGGAACATGTTTTTTTACCTGAAACAGCGGCCTCCCTTATTTTGTAGATCATGATCAATGAACATAATATGTGCTATAAGTGTCTATGGCAGTATGAAACAATTTGATGTAAACAGGCCGCTGGTTACATATAGTCAGGTTGTATAAGCCACTGCATTCGACTGCGACAAATCGTCACATATTTGCGTCAAAGACCTTGTCGTGATTGCTATGCAATGCCATTTACAGGCACAGAGATTATGACAAACTGAGCGGAGCCGTTTTCTCGAGGAACAGAGTTCTGTATCGAGCACCGAATGAAATTCAGTTTGGCAATCCCTTGCCGACCTTTGACGCAGTAGTGAATGAGGAACGCGCCTGGTATTGATCACGGCCTAGCCGTAAATCAACCGGCATAGGTTGTGCTGCCTGGCGAGCCTTTTTAGAACCCTTTGATGATGTTGAAAGGTCGTCTGAACAAACAAGAGATGCATGCGGAGAAACGAATGTAGTTTCCTCCGCTGGATTAGGTAAGTGATGCGTATTGGGTACAAAATACGTAATGCCCTCGTACCGTTTCACTTGTCCTGGACTGACGCATGCTTATCTGACGCCACCAGCCGCCTGAACCGCACCAGCCGCCAACAGAACCAGGCCGGCTCCAGACTGACCCAATCTAGTTTCCTAATGGTGCCAAAGGGTACGGCTAGCTACGGCTGCATCCGTGCACAGCTGAAATGTGCCGTCCCCTACAGACCACTGCCGAAATAACCGGTGTCCGTTCGCAGCTGGCCCGTGTTCGCATCCACTCCGGCCCGTGCCCTTCTTCTTTAACACGCACCGCCTTCGTCGGGCCATGCTCATCTCCGACTGCCCCGAGCTCGTCTCACGTGGCCCGTGCTTGCCACCGGCTGACCAGCGATCCGCTGTCTTATCCGACTGCCCCGAGCTCGTCTCACTGTGGCCCGCGCATGCCACCGGCTGACCAGCGATCCGCTATCTTATCCGACTGCCCCGAGCTCGTCTCACATGGCCCGTGCATGCCACCGGCTGACCAGCGATCCGCTATCTTATCCGACTGCCCCGTGCATACCACCAGCTGACCAGCCATCCGCTGTCTTATCCGACTGCCCCGTGCTCGTCTCACGTGGCCCGTGCTTGCCACCGGCTGACCAGAGATCCGCTATCTTATCCGACTGCCCCGTGCCTATGTCCTACCGGCCCGTGCCCGTCCCCCTCTGACACGTCCCCATCCGCCTCCGACACGTGCCCGTCCCCTCGGACACGTGCCCACCCCTCTGATACATCCCCGCCCCCTCCGGCACGTACCCGTTCGCCTCCGACACGTACCCGTCCCTCTAATAGGGATCCGTCCTCCTCCGACACGTGCCCGTTCGCCTCCGATATGTTCTCGTCCCCCTCTGACACGTGTCCGTCCGCAGAAGATTAGGTGTCCCCTCCGACTGCCCCGGGCCCGTTTCCACCCGGCCTCTCTGACTGTGTCGCGCTCGTGCCCGCCCGACAGGCGCCCGGCTGATCGGGGCGCCCGTCTCCGGCAGACCTGTTCCACCGGGCCATCGTCATGTCGGGCTCATCGTTGAGCGGCCTCTCGGCCGTGCAGGACCCGGCCCAGTACGCAGTGGCGCTGGGCCGCCGGGTCGGCTGTCCGGTGCCCGGTGACCTGCGACTCGACCACGAACTGCTGGTCGACTGCCTGCGCGAACAGAATGCCGAGCGTCTGCTGGCCGCCGACGTGGGCGGCTACCAGTTCCTGCCGACGTTCGGGCCGAGCGTGGATGGCGTGGTGGTGCAGGGACAGGTGCGACGACGCGTGCGCAAGAACCACGGCCGCGTATACGACCTCATGTTCGGCGTGGCCGAGCGCGACGCGTTCACGCTGCTCTCCGACGAGGACGTGCGTGGCGGGGTGGATGCCGCGCGCCGCGACCGCCTGCTGCGCACGTTCGTGCGCAACAGCTACTGCTACAGCAACGTCGAGATCTTCTACTCCATCATCAACGCATACACAAACTGGAGCAGCCCGCGCCGGCACGCCGCCGCGCTGCGCGACGAGACGATTGCGGCGCTGAGCGACGCGGCGTTCGTGGCGCCCGTGACCGCCGACGCCGAGCTGCACGCACCGGCTGAGCCGGTCGAGCCGGTCGGTCGCGACGGCGACAGCACCTACTTCTACGTGTTCAGCTACGAGCGCGCGGCCGGCGCGCCGTCCCAGGTGAGTGACGGCGGCGTTTCGTCGGATAACGGGCGGAGTGGGCGACCGATGTGCCGGCTGGCGCCGCGAGGCGAGGCTCGGGGTGGCCCTCTGAGCCGGTATGCCGATAACTTGGCTAGGAAAGCCCGCCCGGTGGTCGGAGGTGACGTTATTAAATCGCGCCGCGTATGCTGCGAGCCGTTGGAGGCCTGTCAAAGCGGCTGTAAGCGGCACCAAAGCGGCCGATGTGTGCCAATCGGTGGATATATCGCCGCCACATTTTACTTGATAGACCTGACGTTACCGAAGTGAGAGGTGTGATATGCTTTTGGAAAACGAGACGAAGCGAAATGAACACGAGGAGACGAGAGCGGTGTTCGGAATGAAGCTCTTCAGGCAGGCTTATTGACAGTGTGAGGTGCTTCACCTCGAACCTTTGTCAATTTTCGAACCTCGAGAATAGTAAACTAGAGGCTAGAAATTAGACTGCTTTCAAACTATTTAACTTAGTATAAGACTTGCATACACTGCGTCCTGGGTAATGTTCATGAACACCACGTGGAATAACCGAACCTTATTGAGAACTTCGACAGCTCTGTTGGAAAATGTTTTAGTTTGGCCGAGATCTATGCTAGCAGATCGGAAGCCGAAGATGTCCGACACAAGGGCCCGCGCCCATGCATTCGCCGTTGACAAGCTTGTTCCAGGGAAATGCAGGGAAATCTTAGTATGCGATAGCTTTGTTCAGACTAAGAAACACTACGTTAATCTGCCCTGTCATTGTCCTCGTATTTTCGATTCGGTGTGCAAAGAGTCATGCATTGGATGATTGTATGCATATTGCTCATCGCACGCATCAATGTGTGACTGATATGCGTCCATCTGTGTGTGACTGATATGCATGCATCGATGTGCGACTGATGTTCATGCATCTGTACGATGTGCAAGATGCGCCTTATTGTATGATGTATGCGTCACTTATTGGCAAGGTGCGCAGCCGTATGCGTGTTGAATACCGGTACGCGAGATGGCCATCAGGGTAAGTCGTGGGCTTCAATCGCACACCGGCCATCAACGTGCACGGTGAGCGACGCTTTGCGCCGTAAACTCACTGCACACATCACTGCACATATTATTTTGAGCGTGTGCATTGAACATCGGTGCGCACAGTGGGTATCGCTGTGTGTAATGAGCGTGGGTGAGCGCGGTGAGTATCGGTGTGTGCAGGGTGCACCGGTGCAGGGTGCGGCTTGTATCAGTGTGCGCGGTGTGCACCGGTGTGTGCGGGGTGCATCGGTGTGTGTAGTATGCATCGGTGTGTGTGTGGTAAGTATCGGAGTGTGTGGTAATCATCGTTGTATACACCGAGCATCATTGCGCACATTGAGCAAAACGGGGCGCGATTAACACCAGCTGGTTCGGTGAGCATCAGCGCGTACGGCGAATATCGCTGAGCTCTGTGTTCACCGGTGTGCGCGGTAAGCACCAGCTTGCTTGGTGAGGATCAGCGTGTGCGAACGCTGACCCGTCTGACCGCCGGCGAGACCGGTAGTCCGCATCGGGAAGGGGGGGGGGGGGTCGGTTCCATCGGCCTCCCTGCCCGCTGACCCAGCGCCGATGCGGCGGCCGGCCTGTCCCGGTCCGCTAAGCCATGTCGCTCGCGACCGGTGCTCAATATTCATAGGCTTAATGGTGGACCGAGCTCCCCACGGTATGGAGGTCCGGACGGGCGGCCGGAAGAGAGCGCCTCGGGCGGAGATCCCCGCCGCCGGACCCTGGTGTCGGCCCCTCCCATCGTCGATGGCGCCACGGGCGGAGATCCCCGCCGCCGGACCCTGGTGTCGGCCCCTCTCATCGTCGATGGCCACTGGCTCGTGACACGGAGACCGCTAAATGGACCCGGGTCTGTACCAGCGAGATAAAGATTGAGCCTTGTATGGGAGTCTCCGTATCTGATGCTGTACTGTAAGCCAGGTCAATTACAGAGCGGAACCAATCGCCCAGAATCGGGTAGTTCGGCTCTGATCAATGCTATTGGCATCGAGAGCTTGGCCGACCAAACTCATCTGCAGACCCTGCGCCTCCCTCTTTGTCCTGGAAATAGAATAAATCAAGACGGGTAATTCGCCCATCCATTCGACGTTCCAATTCTTTTGTGCACTCCCGACTGACGGAATCCACCGGATCTTTGGGCGCCGGGAGTTTTGGTGTGATGCGCGTATTCATTGAAGCTTCAATGGGTCGTCCTTCTCGGGACTGTCAGTGGGTAAGCTTTTGTCTTATTCTAGATTTTGCTACGAATTATTTCGTAGGCGTATTTTCATAGTTTGTTTCAAGAACAGTGCACTTTATGAATTATGCGAGAACAATGTTTGCAACTACTGGCCACCGCCTTGTAAAATCAAAAAGCGGTGGATTTTGTGTTCATGACATGTCAGCTGTGCTTACTTTTGGGGCGGTTTCCCTGATTCTCAGAACGCTTGGTTTTGTGTGGGAACTGCATGCTTTGTCACTTGCACTGGCAATTGACATGCTGCACTCCTCTGCAATGCATCAAGCGGGGCCGGGCAGGTGCATATGCCGCTTAACCGACGCTGGAGCATCGGCTCTTGGCTGCAAACCGCCATTCTTTCTTTTTTGTGCACTATTTGTGCATTCCGAGTATCTAGTACGATTGTATTTCGCGGATCATTGTGCGAATCGTAATGCAATTGGAATGACTGGGGAATTGAGGATGACTGGGTGTTTGATATGTTTACGCAAAGTGCAAGCAATGAAAATGTTACCTGGTCAAGTTCCCAGCTATAACCTTGCTCTCAAGTATTTGAATGGCGAAAAGAAGCATTATCCGCGGCCTGCTCCGCCTTGCGACGTTTATCCTTGCGGCAGGCGTCGTATCTCAGTTTTAGTATTTCGGCGGGAGGGGGGGGGGGGGGGTTAAGATTCATTGCCATCTTCCCTTCATCAAGAGTTTACTTCAAATATGAAATGATTTTGTGGGATTTTGGTCATTTTTCTTATGAAAGTTCAGTAAAAACTTGACATTTGGCGCTCTGTGAGAGCGGTTTTGGACATTCGATGATGGTAACATCCTTATAGTAACAGGAAAAAGCTTGGAGTGAGTCATTCTGCGGTCCTCATTCATTTCCAAAAGTTTTTTGCACCTTTGCAGCAGTGGGTATGCCGTTCGCAAGGATGCAAATGTAATATATTTCATTACTGTATTTGCGTACAATGAAGTGAAACCTTTTTTCTCATGGGACGATGAACATAATTACTATTTATATCAAGTACAGATTGTTAAGGAGGACAGCGAAACTTAAATGCAGCCTACACTGGTAGAATACCATATGGTCTGTCTGGTAGTGGCATCATTTCAGGGGTGTCAGTTTTCATAAATGGTATGGGGAGGGCGGGAATAGCAAGTCATGGACCTCACAGCCTCCCCTCTCGTAAATGTGTTCGTCAATAGATTCAGTCTGCTTTCTTTTGATTGCGGAGAGTTTCTATGTTTTTTGGTATTTGGTCTTATTAAACAAATTTTACTTAAGCAGCATTGTGGTCATGGCCGATAAGTAAATCCCAAGAAGAAAGGCTTCGTGCTTTACTTGATTTTTCCAGTTATTTTGTAATCTCCCACTTAGAAGCATTGAGTGGGCCCAGATCAGGAAGGAGGAGCCCAAATCAACATTGGAGTGGGATGTGGCCCCAAAATAATTTGAATTTGCAGTCCTGCATCATGCATGACAAGTACCACAAGTGCTTAGATTTGTTTTCCACCTAGTGTGCAAAGAGCTGTTCTAGCTTGCTAATTCAATCAGCACCAACATATGCATGCTGGTAATGAAGAGTGTCATTCTGATGTACCAGCTTCTTTGTTTCCATGATCTGAACCGCGGATTTACAACAGCATGTGTAAAAAATCTGGTAGCCAAAAGTCTTAACCTCACCCTGACTCGCCGTTTTTCATAACGCGGACTGAGAGGAGGGATGATACCCCTGTCATTCCCAAGCTGAGGAGGGTAGAGCGTCACGTAAAATTACCAAAAATGTATTGTTCTCAACGAGATCTCGCGTGTTGTGACAAGTTGTATGTTGCTGCTTGACCCCACTAGACCAAGTTTATGGTAAAATGCTCTTGAAAATCTGACTACTTAAACTTTGCATATTCATACGTACAAAACCACAAAACAAAAACCAACTACGTACCAATATGGAATTTAAAAGAGTGAGTACTCTTCATGAACTCTTTGTTTATATTCAGTGCAATAGCGTTGTCATGGGGTACGTGATCCTGTGGGGTATACAGGTGGAGGTGAGGGTAGGGTGTCCATTTTCCCTGACGCCGTGAGATGCAAACCTGGGGTTTTGTGGAAGGCTCTTTTTGCTGCGTGCACCGTGAAGAAAAATATCCGTGCTGAATGACAACAGCCCATCCTCTGCCTACGCACTAGTACCTATTTGGCCACCCAGAGGCCCCTGTCACAGACGAATGCCCATTTGGCCACTCAGAGGCCCCTGTTACGGATACGTGAGCCTTAGCTGTCCATCGTGTGCACTTAAGCCGTTAGTTGCGTCCCTTCTCAGAGCCCAAGGTCCGCTTAGGACCTCATCAGGAGCCCAAAGCCTTTTATTTCCTCACGACTGTATACTTGCATGAGCTAGGATCGCCGATAGCTGGTTTGATAAATGCTAGGATCGCCGATAGCTAGTTTGTGTGGTGTTGATGGAATACACAACATTCATTGTACAAACGACAGGAAATCATTTAGCCTGAGCCTGGAATTTCGGATACCTTCGGTTCGTTAAAGCAGGTAACAGTCCTCTAAAAGTGGGCTGCTGCCGTAAATGACTGTTTTTTGCTGTTGCTCTTTTATTTTTGTGTTTTGCTCAGCATGGCAAGAGTCTGAAACAACCAGCATTGGTATTACCCAAACAATTCTGTGATCCCCTTTTCCGCGACTCCGACGCATCCTTCTTCCAGGACGCCCCCACTACTACTAGCCCAGCACTTGCGAAGT